AAAAAGAAATCTCGCCCTGCTCTGTATACTTTGTTATTGTTCTAGCTCCGTTGGGAGCTGAGTAAGCCGAGGCTGATTCTGCTGAGTTGGAGGAAGTCAACTCTAAGTCATCTCTTGGGCTGTTTATCTGTTTCTAGTGAGGAGCAGAGGGAAGGCTCTGTGGCAACATTGTTTCCCCCTGGCTCCCATTTTCTTAGCAGGCCTGGACTAAGGGCACCGCGTATGTACCTTGTGATTGTCTCTAAAGCACTGCACTGTCTGGCTGACTGTGCAGCCAGCTAGGTCCAGCTTGGGGCCTGGAACAGAAAGCTTGAGAAAGGAAGATGAACGCCTGCCTAGCAATCGAGCCCCACTGGTTCGGAGAGGTCACTCAGCAGGAAGTCTTTCTCCCTGAGAGTCACTTGGCCCCTCTGGATAAGGCAGGCATGGAGATTGTTTCAGCCTCTCTTGTTGCCTCTGCCCTGGCAACAATCTGGTACAGGAAAAGGACTGTACTGTATCTGTGAGGCTTACTTCCGGGAGATGGGGTAGAGAAGAACCTCTAGGAGTCTTCTCTATGAGATGCTGTAGTCTCAAGTCTCAGGCCCCAGGAACACATCTGCCCTGTCATGATTTGGGACTCCAATTCAGAGCTTCCAACAGCCTCTGCCATGGTTCCCTGAGGGCTCTCCTTACCTGGGAGAGCAGTGATTCTAGCTTGGCTATTACCTCTAGAAAAGATTTTACATTTTGTTTATATTTCATTATAAAATATTTGATGCATAAAATTATGTGTATTATTTATAGAAGTTGTTAAGTCCAGGAGCAAGGTGTTTTTTTTTTTAAAGCTGAATTAAAATATAAAACAAACACCCATTTTTGTGATGCTTCTATATGCCCTACCCTGCTACCTCCCCTAGGGAGGTCACCCAAAATTGATGGCAATTGTCAAATACCTGATATGAGTTTTTACTATCTCTCTCTGTATATATGAATAGCCTGTTTTGAATTTTTTAAAGATTCAAATAAAATGGTAGGATTACAACCATTTACATTTTTTAAATTTATTTTTTGTTTTCTGTGTGTAAGTAATTCACATAAGACTACGTGAATTATTTTGCCTATATGTATGCATATGTATCATGAGACTGCCTGGTGCCTGTGGATGAGAGAGAGCATCGAATGCTCTGGAACTAGAGTTCCAGAAGATTGTGAACAACTCTGTGGGTGCTGGGAAGCAAACCCAGGTCTAGAATGACAGGGAAGACTCTTAACTGCTGAGCCACCTCACCTTCCCTAGACCTGAAGCCTTTGGTGCTTCATTCACACGTTACATATCTTCCAAAAGGATAAAAAAAAAATACCCCGAAACCTTGCATTTGTCTGGTGCAGACAGATATTGTTTTCTCAATGGTTCCTCTCTTGAATACACAGAGGTCAGCTGTCATGGACATGTCAGGGGAACATGGAGGGGCTGCTGCTACCCAGAGGAGCAGGCTGAGTAGCAAGAGGTCTTGTCTGGGGCTTCTGTTCAGACAAGAACAGAAGGGCCATAGAGGAAACAGGTGAGTGGCTGGTCGGTGACATGTGGAGAAGGCCAATTCTGTCAACAGCCTGGGGCAAGCATGAGACTGAGAGGGAGGCTCGGAATGTGGAGCTCCAGGAGAGACAGAGGGTCCTCAGGCTGGACATAGGAGGAATTCAGGGTAGGAAAAGCAGCTGAGATGGAGTACTAACCCCAACGCCTTAACTTCTTTGTGTTGGCTGGCTGGGAAGCTTTCCGACAGAACAGAGGTTTGCGGTTTGCAGAACGCGTTATTGCCCTTCTTTCTGCCTTTAGCTCATCTGTTCTAGTTCTTGAATACCAACGATGTGCCAGGCTCACTATGGGTCACCTCACGTCAGATGTAAACAGGCAGTGAAGCTTTCCTTGCCATACTCTGTGGTCTCTGGCAGGAGAAACAGCTATTTTGTGGCATGTGACAGCCACAAAGCTTGATAGGAAATCCAGGTGAAATGCTAAAACTGGTGGCCCTTGAAGTGTCTGCTGGGACCTGTGCCTGCACTATTGCTGCTGATCCGTCTCCCTGTCAGTTGGTCATGTGACAGTACTGCAACCAGGAGCGCAGGGAAGTCATGCTCAGGGCATGAGCAACATGTAAATTTTCCCCTCAAGGAGGGCAGAATTTGTTGAGGGAAAATATCTGAGTCTGTAAAGAGGCAGTTACATGCTAGTAGGTGAAGGCCTCATGATGAAGTCAGGCAATAATTTAAACTTTACAAAAGAGATGTATACATAAAAGAACATTTTTGCCTAAATAAGATTCAGAAAGTCTTTTTAAAAACTTGCTTGTAAATCTCCAATCTGAAACCGAGGGTCATTCTAGAGAGCCAACCCAGAGGAGGAAGAAGAGGAGGAGGGGAAGAGGAAAAGGAGGAAGAGAGGGAGGAGGAGGAAGAAGAAGGAAGAAGAAGAGGGGAAGGAGGGGGAGGAAGAGAAAGAAGAGGAGGAAGAAGAGGAGAAGGCAGTCAGTTGGCCACAGTAGTCTCAGCTCCAGCTGCACACACTCTGTGTGTGTGTGTGAGAGACTTAGTTTCTGTCAGCTTGACCAAGCTAAAGCCACCCAGAAAAAGAGAATTTCAAGAGAGGAATCTCTCCCATCAGATGGGCCTGTGGGCATGTCTACACAGGATTTTCTTGATTAACGGTTGACATAGGAGTGTCCTGTCCACTTTGTCCTGTACTACCTGTGGGCGAGTGGTACTGGGTTGTATAAAAAGGCAAGCTGAGAGAACCACAAAGAGCAGGGCAGGAGGCAGCTTCCTGCATGGTCTCTGCCTCTCTTCCCTCCGGGTCACTGCCTCGGCTTCCCTTTATGATAGACTGAAACCTCCAAGCCAGGCGAGCCTTCCCTCACCAGGTTACCAGTTGTCAGTGTTTATCACAGCAACAGAGATCAAACTAGGGCCCAGTGCTATCTGAAGCGAGAGTTGACACAATGACCTTTCAGCTTTCTGTCAGCTCATCCTGCTGCCCGCAGGCACATCCCATACCCAGAGGTCTTTTGGCTCTGGCTGTAGATTCTCACACAGCCTGCCTCACCACATAGTCCTGTCCACATGGCTTTAGATGAATGCACTCTAATTTACTCCAAAGTCACGGCAAGTGACGTTTGAGACCCGGGCATGGCTTCCTTTCACAAAGTGCCTCTGACTCCTGGGAGCACACTGGTCGGTCACAGGCTGGCTGTTTCAGGAGCATACATAAAGGGGAGCTTGGGCTGGAGAGGGAACATGCTCTCTGTTCTCTTGCTCTGCCATTGCCCTTGGATGGGTGACAGCAGGAGTTATACAAAGTGATTGCAGAACCTTTAGAGCCTGCTATAAAGCAGTTTGCCTGGGTTTGTAGTTTGTCTGGTGAACAGGACATCTCATTCTCTCACAATGAGCCCCTGTCCACCTGGACTCCAGAGAGTTGCTTTGTAAACGTTGGTGGTTTCTCAAAGGTTGATTTGTGTTTTCTAAGGCAGGGACTGCATCTGCTCTTCCGCTTCCATTAAATGATTCCCAGCGGTGCCTGATAAGAGATGTGTGCTGAGGGGATACGCAGTCAGTTCTGCCTCTCTCTCCTTCCTTTGAACCTTCACCAGGTTCCCAGGCCCTAGGCCTTTGCTGGAGACTGATTGTATGCAAGCCTTGATCCTGAGAATTTGACAGGCAGAAAAGGAGGGAGCACAGATAACACATCTGGGCCAACGGCAAAGGTGCAGAATCAACCACACTTGGTGTAGGTTCAGTGCTCTGAACCCTCAGCCACGTGACAGAAACTATCTCAGGACCCTTAAGGGCTCAGCTCTGAAGTCAGAAATGCATTTGCCTGAGTGCTGAGGTCTTTTATGAGTTGCTTAACCTCCAAGAGCCTCAATTTCTTTTTCTATATTATACAAGTAATAAGAAAACTGGTGCCCACTGTGGTCTAGGACACCCGTAAATACCTATGGTATCTCCTATTTGTGTTTTGAGTCTATTGAGACTTAAAGTTAGGAGACAGGGACCTGAAAGCTACCATTATTGCTGACAAAAATGACAGGAGTTTGTAGCTTGTGGACTCCTGACATAGACTCCCAGACTTAGGTCCCATTAGTCCCAGGCTAGTTCCAGCCGCAAAAGCTCCAGAGATGGGCAAGGGGCACAAGCTTTCATTGCGTATTGCTCACAGAGGAAGGGGCAGGCAGAACACCTCAGATGCACCATCCAGATGCTTTCAAAGAGGTGGTTGTGCTTTGCTCTGGTTTGAATATGGAATGTCCCTCGTAGGCTCATGTATAGAATGCCCTTCATAGTGGCCAAGGTGTTGAATGCGTTGAATGTTTGGTCTCCAGCTGATGATTGTATTTCAGAGAGTCTGGAGAAATGAGAGCTAGCTGGAGGAAGTAAGCCGTCTGTGTCATGTGTCCTGTCCTGGGCTCCCCTTTCTTCTGCTTTGCTACCTGTCCACCAGGACACCAACAATTCCACCACCGTGTCCTATCGTTATGGACTGAAGCCATGAGCAGAACAAATCTTTATTCCCTTTAAGTTGTTTATGACCAGCGTCTGTCACAGTAATGAGAACGCAGCTTACTTAGAATGTTCTCGAGCACTTGCTGTGTGTGTGTGTGGGGGGGGTTCGTTGTGAAGCCCTCAGAGCTTAGGTGGGAGGGCTTCACTGGTCACATAGAACTCCACATGCATTTGCTTTCAGATAATCATCATATCTTATAAATGGTGACAGTTGAGCCTGCTGTTAATTTAAAATTTGCTTTCCAGTTCTTCTACTGTGTTTTGGGAGTTATTTGGGAAAACTATGAAAGGCCAGCCCCAAGAGAGGTCTGAATGCCAGACCACTAGCACGGCAGACTTCTTTCTCCCTTCTCCCATCTCTGTTCCCTTAAAGCAAGGATACCAGCCACTCCCTGGGAAGCTGAGCATGCGTCTGGCCTCACCCTGTTCTAATGGTCTGTCCTGTCTCTCTCTTACAGTGCAAGTTGGAATTCCATGCTTGTTCTACGGGCAAAAGCCTCAGCTCCCTCTGTGATGGGCCCTGTCCGTGTCTGCCTGAGCCTGAGCCACCAAAACCCAAGGCAGAGAAGAGTGGTGAGTGGAAGAGGGTTCAGAGGTCAGGGGGGCTTGCACGGTCAAGCCTGGCTCACTTGCTCAGAGCCAGGCTATGACAGAGCTGTTCAGCCTTTAAAGGGAATATGAACTCATTTGGCAAGCAAGCTCTCCAGCTTGGCCTGGAACTCTGAGCTGGATCACGTCGTACCATTAAAGAGAGAAAGAAGAGCAGAGAGGCTTTTAAAAGAAATCTGTTAGAGCGAGGTGTGTGCCAGCCTCCTTTAGATGGTAGTTTATCTCTGACATGGGAGGGGCAGGTTTTCATGGCCTGCCCTTGGGCTTATCTTTCTCCAGTTGTAAATTCTTGAATCCTTTGAACATCTCAAGACTGAACATCACAGAAACTGCAGAGGTACTGTGGCCGAGGAGAGCTTTCTCCCTTAAGCATTTCTTTATCAATACATTCCACTGGAGTCCAGTATAAAGCCAGGGGACAGATGAAAATGAACAGCCCTGGGGACCACTCTTTCCAGTCCAGGATTGAGAGGGCATGTTTTCTAATGGAGAAATAATATAGTCCCATTGGCCACTGCCTGCTTCTGAAATCTGAGTTTAAATTTGCCTTCAGTGGCCGTGAGCATTCTTAGCTGTGACTGGCTGGTAACATAGAAAGCACTGTATCTACATGCATGCCAGTATATGTGTATACGTGCACATATGCCAATGTGTGTGTGTGTGTGTGTGAACTCATGTCTCCCAATACAAGAAGCTTCTCATGATTGAGGAAATGAACAGAGCAAGAGACAGTATCATTTTTATTAGCAAAGGGGTTAGGGGAAGTAGATGAAGACTTCAAGTCCAAGTCTGGGCAGTTCCACTTTAGAAATGTTACAGACTCTTTGGGAAGTGTAGCTCAGAAGAGCAATATAGATCAGGAAATACTGTGATCACAAGTAATCAACAAAGATTACTATTGATTTCCCAACAGCAGATCTCATCACACTTGAGAGCAACTGATTTTTATGAAAAGTTAGACATGATGTACAATACATCTTTGTATTTTGGCTGTGAGGTTTTGAAGTTGTCAGTATCAATGAGGTCAGCTGGGGAAGTCCAGGTCTTCAGCATTATCAACAAAAGAACACAGAGGAAGTACACAAAGCTCAGCAATAAAAATTAATTTTAGAAGTGAGAGTATGTCAGAAAGCAAAGGTGTATACTTTTCTGGGTAGTAGAATGGGTGGCTTCATGGGCAAGGCCCATACTGGAAGGTTGGGGTGTTCCTTCCATGGGTTAGAGGATGCTCATGGAGGATTGTCTCTAGGGAGGTGTGGCTTGATTGTTTCCTCCTTTGATTGATAGCCTAAGATTCCGCTCAAGTTGTATCAGGCAAAATCATGCACAGCTGGTACCTGAAGTCAGACACAGCGTCCAGTGGGGACAGTTTCCTTTGGTTTGTCCTTACTGAAGGCGTGTCACTACTGGTGCTTGCATCCTGGTCATGTGATGGAAACTGTGTCTGCCCTGGAATTTTGTAGTCAGTAGTATTTTTGAAGATCTGGAAAACATCCCAATGAACTAAGCCCCTCCTGTCTCTGCCTTGGATCCACTCTCTTTTACTATATAGTCTAGAAAATTCTACCTAAAATTTTCTGGAGTCTTACTAGGAAGTTGTAGTAGCCCATGTTACTCTAGATTCCATGCTATTCTAGATCCCATTCTATTCTAGATCCCCTGCTATTCTAGATCCCATGCTATTCTAGATCCCATGCTATTCTAGATCCC